GTGTGCTGAGGAGTTCGTCATCTTGTAGTGCATTAGCATCGACAGCATGGAAGCGCCGACTACAAAAACTCGAGTGCACCACGATGCCGCTTCTTAAAGAAAAGTCATCGCGTGTGCCGAAACTGACGGAAATCGGGCCGTATCGCGGTCATTCGGAGTTCCCGAAACGTGCGTGCGAGACTGGTGGAAACAAAAGCAGAAGATTGCCGACAGCAAAGCATCACGCAATGGCTTCAGTGGACCACAGCAGGGTCGGTTTCCGCAAATCGAAGAGCTGCTCGGCGAGTATGTGCTTGAGCAGCGAGCAGTACAGCGGCCCGTGACGACAGAACTGCTCCAAGTGCGGGCTATGCAATTAGCCTTAGAAAAAGGTCTAATGCGGAGCCAGTTTAAAGCGAGCAAGTGCTGGCTAACTAACTTTATGAAGAGGAAAGGCTTTTCCTTTCGAAGGGGAACGGGCATATGCGAAAAGTTTTGTGGAGGAGTACGATCAAAAGCTTCACAGTTTTCAGAGGTTCGTCCTAAACCTGCGGCACAACAACGGCTACCTTCTTGGGCAAATCGGGAATGCCGTTCAGACGCCTCTTTATTTCGACCGTCGACAACCGTCGAGAAGGGGGCGAAGCAAGTTCGCGTGCTGACATCGGTCCACGGTAAAACTACAGTGACGGCAATGCTCTGTTAAACGTCAGATGGGCACAAGCTTCGCCCGTACCTCATATTAAAACGGAAGGCGCTCCCGAAAGGAGTCGTTTTTTCGAGTGGTGTGATCGTGTGGGCCAGCGAAAAAAATGGGTGCGCGTTCCAATCGATGTTTTGCGTTTTTTTTTTCGCTGTGGAAATCCGGTGCGCGTTACAATCGAGGGCGCGGTAGAATCGAGTACACGTGCACAGATTATTCAGTTTTCTTTTTGACTAAGGGGCATTTTAGCCTTGACAGTGCTGAAAGAAACTTCTGAGATGGAGTATAGGTTGTACTTTGCAGAGCTCTGAAAGCTCAGTTTTGCCTGGTAATATGAATGCAAGTCTCCAACTGTACTCAAAAGCAAAATTTGAGGTCAGGTAGTATTTGTATAGGCATCATTTTTGAAAATGGGTGTTTATAGGCACTTCAAAACACTATAAAATTCCTTCTTGACCTCTAATTTATGCTCTTAAATTAAAGTAGCAGGATAGAAATGCAAAAAAAAAAAATAGGCATTTGCGTATTTTGTTCAGGCCTCTACTCATCAGTGAGTTCGCTTTCCTATAGTTATATGTGTTAAGCAGCTGACACATACTGCTGGCTAAGGCTGCATATATTTTACATTTATTTTACCTACAACGTTATTGTGCATCTTTTGCAGTACCATCGTTGTGTTTCTAGCTTATTGACAATCTTCACTTTTGTGGAAATGCCTGCTACGAAGGATGCGAATAAGGAGCAATTTCACAGCAACAAAGTACAGCTGAGGCTCTGGAATTAATTTCACAGTATCTATAGCATATGGCCAAGAATACTGAAGTCTGGTTTTATCACTCCTAATATATACGGATTCTCACGACACAGAGGGCACTGTATTATGTGGCACATAGCAGAGTTGATCGTGGCACCATCTTACCACTTTCACTGGAGCTATGACAGTTCGTTGCGCAACATCCCATCATATACGAAAAGAGCTGCTGGTGTGTGGCATCACGTTGTTGCGATTGAAGTGCATGCTAGTGCGCTCCAGGTGATAAAGCTATCCGAAAACCTCCTCTACAATGTTTTTTTTTTTTTAAGCTGCTTCTATATCTTGAAACCCAAAACCAACGATTGGTTCTACAGTTCACCAAATAATACACCTGAGATCACGCATATCTCGACAAGCAAAACCCAAAAAGCAGAAGCGAGAATAATAACAGTGCCAATGCTCGATGTCATTACACTTGAAAGGCCGGAACCTGCAGCGTGTCAGCATTGCTTGCAAAGAGTCAGCTTCTCTGGGCACAAAGGAACCATTTCTAATCACATATTGGCACTCGGTCAATACAGTATACTCTCAGTAAACGGAACCTAAAAAGAGTGAGGAAATATGTTCCATTTAACAGAAGTTTCGTTTACTGAGAGGTGAACATGAATGCAGAAGACAAGCACAAAACCAAGCATTGCAGAGGCAATAGTTGCATTTAAGCAGCAGTTCTGTTTAACAGATTTCCGTTTACTGAGAGTTCACTGTAGTGGCACTGTGAGTCGTGGAGGCGGAGCGAGCAGTGCCAGGAAAACAGTGGCACAACTCTGCTTTTATAGATACCATATAGTAACTACAGTAACTCTACATGTATCCTCGAGTTCATAAAAGCTGCACAGGCATGTGGTCCCACTGCAATCTGCTGCTATCATTTGTTCATTGAGGTAATATACTGACTCTAGAGATGAAGCTCCCCATAGAGCTCATGCATTAAAACCTATAACTGCTTAGATGCCAGTATGATGGAATGATACACGGCTATTGGGTGAAGCTTACTTGCACTCGCCACTGCATTCTGCTCTAACTCTTGACATTTTTTTTTCTGTTCTGTGGCTCCCTGTTGCATCGCAGTAAAAGTGTGGCAAGGTTCGGTAAATAAAATCAGTCGGGCTATCTGTACAACGTGATAATATGGCAAGAAAAGGAGGTGAGAATTTGATTTGCATAGAAAAGAAAATATATTTGAACACACAAAGAAGACACAAAAAGGGAATGCTAGGATCAACAAGAAGTAAACAAACAAGCACCGGCCAGACGGAATATAGATACAGTTTTCGTTAACCAGAGTAAACCTCTAAGAGTCTAAACTCTCTTTTGAGTTCACCCGTCGAAGTTGTTAGAGTCCGGACGTGCGAGGAGAGTGGTGCGGCTCACCAGCTGTTCATGCCCCTCAGCAGTCAAGTGAAGACGATGCAGTGGTGAAAGTGCACAAGCTCGGGCCTGTAGCCCAGCAGCTCGCTCCCACTTTCTGTGAATGCCGCCATCAGCATTGCTATCCTCCGCCCGAGTACCATAACCACGTCATGCCAGGGACTCTGCTAAAGCCTCGGCGGTAAAATGCTCACTAGGACCCCGTAAAAGTCTCGCCGGCTACGTGGATGCATTGAAGCCTGAGTACACGCACCTGACAAGCTTTTACGCTGTACCCTAGCCACATTATTCCAATCACTAGCACGACTCTTCCTCTTTCTCCTTTTCTTAGCAGTGGCTCTGGATTCTGTCTTCAGTTTATTTTTAGTTTTTCTTTTTTCTACTTCGGTGCTGGGTGCTCGCACAGGTTCGCACACAGGCTCGCACATTGTCAGTAGCCCGTCTTCGTCAATCTTGCCTTGTCAAGTTTGAGAAGCACCTCACTCTTGCTCTTTACTCTCAACGAAAAGACTCACCTGATACACAAGCAAGCCTGTGCATTTGGGTGCACGCCGCACGGTCACACTCTCATATGTTGATAAGGTACAAGGATGGTCACACTGTCTAGTAAACAAACCTGCAAGCACTTCTTTCTGCGAATTGTAAATTGCATAAATGGCCATGGGCAGGGAGGGGAGTATCCTTCCCTACTAGTAGTTGATATAAACATCACACAATATTTGTATCTTTATAGTGCGCGAGCATGCTTGTTTGTGACAAAAAGCTGAGTGTTTCAGACGCTACATTTACCACTTTTGTAAATTATTCTGAGGGTAAATATGACAACGTACCATCATCTATTCGTGTGGTTATAGCTCTAATAGCCCAGCTTTTTCTCTAGAGTTAATCTCAAGATTTTCAGTTTTCAGTCTCTGCCGAGCAAGTGCCTTCCCCTCACCTCACTCCCAACTGCCTCTATCCATCACACTCTGCGGACTTGTACCGAAGCTGCCGAAACAAGAACAGCACCAAAACCTCTGGCTACGCTCTCGTTTAATCGAAAATACAATCCAAAAATTGGTCATCTGACCACCTTTGCTTGCATGAAACTAAAATTGGCTTGGCACCTGCCATTTTGTTATTGTCGTTTGTTTGTTCCAAACATCACTGCAGTGACTACAGTGCGTCATTTTTTAGTACAATCGACGGTCATTGCTCTTTTGACATGTCGTTTGGGCATTTTGGCACTTTCTTGACATGACCTTATCAGAATCATTAAGGTGCAACACTGACTCTCTGTAGTAGCTAAACAAGGTCTTGAAGTACACGTTATGAACTTGTCTGGCAGATCAGGCTATGTTGGAGTTATTAAAAGATACTAATAAAATCCAATCGAGCACATTTGAGACGCTATTCTTCCTTTTTGAAAGTGTCTGTTTTAGGTCTTCCCTTAGACCAACACGTATATAACCATTTGTAGCCGTTTTAAAAAAGTCTTTAAGGCTTCTTTCTTGGGATGTCTCGTGGATGTGCATCTGCTGTCCAAATTATTGCGTCCGGATAAAATTCTTTATAGATGTCCTTCAGATGTTTCGGACAGAAAACAAAATGGACGTGAAGAACTACCGAAATGCAATGGCCCTATGTCGTCCCTTAGATAACCGGCTCCGTACGTGGACGTGTGGCTAGTATTCAAACGTACACCGGATTTTTGTGGTTCATTGGCGTTGATGTCCCTGGACAGTGAGCTGGCAGCGGGAGCTGTGGTAATTGGCAGCAGTGCCCACTTCTGCGAAAGCTGTAAGGGAGAGCAGAAGAGGGAGGCAGTGGTATGGCATACACTGCAGCCCCTTGATCACGGAAGCCAATCTAAACAAGCATCACAAAAGTCCTGTGACTCCTTGAGAAATTCCTACTCTCTTTCTGCTTGTAACTTCCAAAATCGGTCAAATTGACACATAAAAAGCAGAAATGTGCCGTGACCCATTTCTTTTTTTTTTCTTAGATTGTATGTGGGCCAGGCAATAAGGGGCAGTAAGCTGCCCGTGGAAGCTCCACGCTAGGCATTGCTTATTCGCACTTGCAAGTTGGTGTATGTCCTATACCCTGATGTTGCAATGCATGAGTGATTTTTGTTTTGCACCCTCTTTTCTGCAGGGTTCTTCAGGCACTGCAGCAGTCTCCTGAATTCGGTCGAACGTTTGACTGCAACGGTGAAGAGTGGCAGTCCCACATCTGTCATGCGTGGTAATTTGCTGACATGTGGGCAGCAATGCTTAAACATTTGTGGCAGCTGTAGTAGCAGCAGGCCAGCAGCACCAACGCTTCCACAAGCAGCTGGTTTGCATTGGGCGTGGTCGCTTCGTGCAGTGTGCCTTTCGTGCAGTTCTGACCTGCTGTTGTAAAGGCAAGTGGGATGGTGCGCACAATAGGAGTCTTCTAACACAATGCGGACAAGTTTCTTTGTGCTCATGGAGCTTGGCAAGCTGCTTTTCGATATGAGGCATATGCTTGGACGCACTGCTGGGAGACAGTGCAGATCACAGATGGACTGGTTGTGTGTGTGAACTTTATTTAGAATGGGCTGAGGTGGTGTGCATGTATGTATATGAGTGTTTGTAGGCATCAGACCTGTTAGTATTTCAAATGCTTTGTACAAAACTCCATTCCAAGTTTTGGCCTCATGTTTTCATTCAATACCATGCGAGAATAAAAATACCTTTAGAGTACCTTCACCTTTATTTCATATATTGTGTCATGTTTTTATTATACTGTGTACCTGAATTTTAATAGCAATGCTGGTTTGGTCGGCCAGTTGTGTCATAATTCAAACATGCTCGCCTCTTCTGCATTGTGACTATAGCATAATAGTACTCATCTTTAAAAAGTCTCGTATAGACTTTTTTCAGGATATCCCAAAGGTGTGTGGAGCACTATGGCAGTTCTCAGCTATGGATGTGTTGGGGACCCCTCATAGACTGGTGGAAGTGATGGGGGACCCCTTGCAGTGGAGGAGAGGGAGGAGGGGTACATAGGTAAATTAAAACACAACAAAAACATCAAACAAATGTGCCACATCACATTGGGGACATTTCATCAATATGTGGCACAGTCACACTTTAAGAAAAATGCCGGTGAGGGTTTTGGGGATCATTGAAATGGCTTTGTGGACCCCATTTGAGAACCACTGCACTGTGGGATAAGTCTGTAAATCGGGTTAGCAGAGGGGTCATTCGACGGCTCCTCATTGGAGCCGTGAAAAGACACAATGAAAAGAACACTAGTAGCGCACTGTGTTGCCACAATGTTGCAGTAATGTTACCTTTCAAAATTGCTGCAACATGGCTAATGTTTGTTTTTCTTCGTATTCTTGCAATCTTCAAATGCAACATTGATAAAACATTATTGCAACTCTGTTTGAAGGTTTCTACAAGGCTTAGACGATTTTTATGTAGCAAAACTGCAATTTGCAGCACAGCTGAGGCTTCATTCTTGTAATGCTTTGTAGAAGTTTCTACAAAAGTAAAGCAACCATCATGCGACTGAAGGGCACTTTGTGTGCACTGCAGTGCGACTCCATGGCTAATTTGCCTTCATTGTCCCTAAAGCCCAATGCTTTGAAAAATTTGGTGTCATTATCTTCGAATATATGGCGGAGCCCTTTACAGAACATTATCAAAGGTTCATCCGTTTCCTCCTCCTCTCCACACGCACTACATACTGTGTCTGTGCCTTCGTGTTTTGCTCAGTACGTCTTGGTGCGCATTACTCCCGCTCTAGCCTTGAAGAGCAGAGAACTACCCCCGAGAATTATCGTAGATCTTTTCCCTTGTAATTTCCTGCTTAAAAGTTTGGTATGTCTCCAGTGATGATTTCATAAGCATTTCCATCTTCCACATGTCCCTCTCTGTTTCTGTCACATTCTTCTTAACAGATGTTTCTTTTTGGCTTGGTATTCTGCTGTTGTCTAAATACTTGTTTGACAGTTTTCGAGTTTGCTTCCTTCATTTAGTATAAACATTCTTCATGTACAAGTAGCTGAAAACTTTCCTTGCCCAATGCTCCTCTCCCGTTTTTCTCAATTGCTCCTTAAATTCTATTTTGCTGCTAGCTTCCTTGCACTCAAACGATGTCCATCCCATGTCACCTTGTACCCCCTGATTTGGGGAATTCCCGTGAGCTCCCAAAGCAAGTCTACCTATGTCATGTTGTTTAATTTCCAATCTTGCTTGAGCTTATGATTTCATGCACAAGACAGCATTGCCCAAAGTCAAGCCCGGGACCATGACACCTTTCCAAGTTCCTCTCACAATGTCATACCTATTGCAGTTCCACAGTGCCCTATTTTTCATTGCAGCTGCATTTCTGGTGCCCTTGGTCATTACGTATCTTTCAATATTCAGCCCCATTATTTATCTATACACCCAAATATTTGTATTTATCTACTATTTCTAGCGTTACTTCCCATATCTTATGCTCACTGCCTTTGTTATGATTGAATATTATGATTGCCGATTTTTCCCTGCTGAACTTAAAACTTAACATATCTGCCTCATTACCACAGATGTCTATCAATCCCTGCAGACCTTCCTTGTTGTTGGCTATCAATACTATACTATCTGCATACATCAATGCTGGTAATGACTGTTCAATGCATTTTTCTTGCTTGGCAAAAGAGAGGCTGAAGCCGAGTCGACTCCCCTTTAATTTGACTTCTAGTCTCTCGAGATACAGCATAAATAACAAAGGTGACAATGGACATCCCTCTCGAAGCCCGTGTTGTATCTCTATAGGTTCAGATACCTGTTCTTCCCAACCCGGAAGTGTCATCAGCGCCACCTGTAGCCATAACAGCGAGTGTGGCACACTTTTTATGAGCCTGTTTTGGCGTCACGTAGCACGTGAACTTATTATGAGCTGAATACAACCTTAAGGCACCATGTCTGCTAGTACGAGGCCCTCGTTAATGAATCAAGGAAAGAAGTGTATACGGCTCGTAATTATATATATATATATATATATATATATATATATATATATATATATATATATATATATATATCTGTGTGTGTGTATGTGTGTGTTAGTAGAAGCAGAGGATGAAGAAGCAGAATGGAATAAACAATAAACATGGCCTATGAGCCAGGCTGCATCTCCCACATCTAGCAACACACAAGTCGACGGGATGAAGGCCTGCCAGCCCCTTCATCAGTCGCTCATCATCGACGCAGTTGCCCATAAGACACCCTGACCATACATCGACTACCGAATCATCTCGTAGCAACACACACCGACCAGCACCATGACAGAACCATCAGCTGACCTTGACATCCCCAAGTACACCGGATCAGCGGACGACGGACCCGTACAGGACAAGTTAAACCTATTCGAGCTCCATGCTGCTGCTGCATCCTGGTCGGAACGGGAGATGGTCATCAACTTTACCCACCATGTCTCTGGAGAGGCTTTCAAATTCTGCGTTGTGTACCACATATTTCAAAACGACGAATTTTGGCAAAAAAGAATTGATCACCCGTTTGAGCGACTACGATGAAGAATTCCTTATTACCAATAATCTGGAGACAATCCCACTCAGACGTCTCAGACTCAGACACCACAGTTCCAGCTGTTTCCTTAAAAGACATAGCTTTCCATCAGGTTTCTCTTCTGCAAGAAAGTCGGCATTTTAAATGTCTTCGCTCCAACATATGACATGAGATGCTACTCATTCTACTGATGCCCTGCATGCTTCGCCTCGCATACATGGTCCATCACCTGGTTTTCTATTACGCAGCTCTTCAAAGGCTCCTAACACTCACCAGTCATGTCGTAAGGATGCCTTGTTCACGGTAGACGAGCTGACGCATGGGGAAAATACCGAACAATGGCACGACAACTCGAAGAGTCAAAATCAGTCTTCACGCATTGGAGCAGCTAACTTCCCATCTAGTACACTTGGCCCACCTTCTGCTTTTCCATGACTTGGCTCTTTCGTCACTCACAATGCACACTTCACGTCTCACGCTCTCACCACGGTCGGGATAAAGCTGCAGAACTCGGAAGATACTCAGCCAAGCCTTGCTCCTTCAATCAAGATTCATGCGTCAGAACAGCTCAGCTCGTTAGTTGCACAAAAAGACAGGCAATAATTCAGAACAGGAATATCACCAAACTACGCCTGTTGCGGTGTCGAGCGCAGTCATCTGAAAGGCCCAAAACAGGAGGTCCTGAAGCATCAACTCTGACAGGTTGCCAGGTGCCAGAAGCCTATCCAACAAACTGTGCCACAGGCGCCTCTGATGTATCTCCAGTGAAATCTGTCCTACCAACTTCACTGCCTGAAAAACGTTGCAACAGCTACCAATTGGACACTATGCCAAGTTGCCAAGAAATACATTGTCCCCTTCGCGAAGGGCTGCCACCTCAACATTTTTCGCAACGCCAACAAGGTCAGCACAAGCAAATAAACCAGGTTAGGCGACATGTTATCCAACGAGGACAACCACAGTCATCGAATGACCACTTGCAGCTCAAGGAAAGACATTTACAAAAAAGTCAAGTGAAGCAACAACATATTCAAGATGTCTTGCTTGTGGTAATGAAAGCATCAAATCCGGGACATTTTAGCAAGGGACGTCCAGTATGATGAAAAGATGCAAGATGTTATAAACTAGAAAGCGGTACTTGTAGTTGATGAAAGACGCGAGATCTTATAAAATAGGAATGATGTCACATATGGCGCATGTCATTGGTTGAAGGCAATCGTTCGATTTAGTGCGGCGACGTACGCTGGGGGGAGCGTTGTAATAAAATCTGTTCGCTGTTGGCGCGCGCTCGGAGTCGCCGGATGGATAAGACAATAATTGGCTTATCCAACATATGGCTTCTAGATATGCACTCAGACGTATATCGTTTGACCATATGAAACCTACCACGATCCGAGGAACATGCATAGACCTAGTATTTGCAAATTGCCCACTGCAACCCATACAGGAACCGCTCTCCCTTCATTTCACAGACCATAAAGCCATCATAATGAAGGGACATCGCAAGCCATCCATCGTCTAAGAACAAATAAAAGTTGATTTGTGTATATACACACACAGCGTTTCTCACGTCTTTACATGATGATCGACTGGGCGAATTTTTTTCAGCAGTAGTCAAGACTCAAGCAACATGACATGCAACTACGAAAGAGGCGCAAAACCACACCCATTGTTCAGGAAGGACGCAGAAATCACCGCATTAGCCTTGGTCAACTAACGTAAGAAGGCAGGGATGGTTAGTAGAAGCAGATGATGAAGAAGCCAGGCATATGGGCCAGGCCACGTCTCCCACATAAAACAAGCCCTTAAGCATACACTTCTTTCTGCTTTCCCTTAATCATTAACGAGGGTCTCGTACTGGCAGACTTGGTGCCCTTAGGCTGTATACGAAGGACTATTGGTCAGCTTCCAGCTCGTAATAAGTTCACGTGCTACGTGATGCCAAACAGGCTCATTAAGAGTGTGCCACACTCGCCGCCATGGCTACAAGTGGCGCTGACTGAATCTCCCACGTTTAAATTCACATATAAACACAATAAAGTGGCTGGGGGATAGCCGCACTAGTAGCTCAGTGGTAGAGCATCTAACGCGTTATTGGAAGGTCGCAGTTTCGGTTCCTTCTCACGGCAAATTATCTGTTCATCCACTTTCTTTCTTCACATTTGCATTACAGTTGGGTCTAATTACTTGCACTATACAT